ACGAACCGGACTAATAAAAATCCCTAATTTAACTAAGTCATAGACTAAATTAATTTATCGACAACGTTTTTCGTTTCGCTAACGGCACGTCAATAGAGGTGTCTATGCAATGGAAAAACGGCAACACATTGTAAAAGAAAGAAGGTGAGAATAATATAGCTATCTTATTCTGTACTATGTTAAACGTCATATGTATAAAGAGTTCAGCTATAAGAATTTTGTTCTTATTTTAGTACTCTCTCTACGCTAGTAATTACTCTGAGAAAATGAGATTCGTCATAATTAATAGCACGTGAAAGGTTTATGTTAATTTACGACAACTGTTTGCATAACGACAGATGAAACACAAAGCGCCGAGTGTTTGCATTTAGTTCTGGTAAATTAAGTTCTGCGCAATCTCTTGCACCGAATAAAGCTTTTATATGCAAAGTACGTCCGACATTAATCTGCTGGATGATTGCACTACTGTAATAGTGTATCTACTATCCAAATTTTATTTAAATAAAATGGATATAAATACACGTAATTATCATGTAATGATGATGCAAGAATAGCATGTAGTGGCGATGCAAGAATATCCACTACCTTTATCGTGCCGTGGATGTCGTAAGAGACGACTACGAGAAACAAACCAGGAGATCGACAGCAGCGTCTTCCTCATATCAACTATAAAATAAAAATTGCAGTTGCATGAGGCAGTCTATGGGGGACGCCTATGTTCAGCTGCTGACTTTTGATAGGCTGTGGCGGCAACCGTAACGGTTGTGGCAGTATAGAAGAGTCCACCCATCCCATTCCTGCGAATAACGTATAACACTGGAGAAAATTTCAAAAAAAATCTAGAAAATTTATAAGTTTTTATGTCTTTTTTTATAGGATAATGGTAACAAACGAGCACTCAGTCCACCTGATGGTAAGTGGTTGCTGCGGCCCATAAACATCTACATCTATCCTCTATTACAAATAAAAATGCAGATGCGTTGTCACCCTTGAGGACCAAGATGGAATGCCTCATTTCCAGTAAAAAGGGTCTCCGGTTCTCTACACTCACCATACGAAACACAGTAGCGTTAAGCTACTATGTAACGCTGTTATTCTGTGAGAGCGTGATCCTTCCCCGGTCGAGCCGACCCATTTGTGCTACAACTATACTACTAGTATAGCTGCAGCATGGTTTTATTACGTAAATATTTTATAGAACCGTGGTATATCAGAGGCTAAACGCTTGTCAGACATTTCACAGATCCATTCGATCGATGAAATTATTAATTGTGAATGCTCGCGGTAAAGGTAAAGATAGTGACGTTTTTTTTATATAAAAAGGGTGACAAACGAACAGTCCACCTGATAGTAAGTGGATGCTATGGCCCATAGACATCTACATTTATCCTCGATTAAGAATGCATTGTCACTGCTGACTAAGATGGAATGCCTTGTTTCCAGTAAAAAGATTCTCCGGTACTCTACACTCACCATACGAAACACAACAGCATTAAGCTGTTATTTTGCGCTGGTATTCAGTGAGATCGTGGTCCTACCCCGGTCAAGCTGACTGATTCGTGCTATAACCATATTACAACCATAACTGCAGCGTGGCTCTACCACGTATGATATTCTGCATGTATCAAAAAGAAAACATTTCAAGGACATATGAACTCCACCCACACTTAGGAGTAGCGCCGCTGACTAACTGCTCCAAAGTCCTGTTAGAAATATGAAACGTACGCAAGTTGAATTTATATTTAGGTACAAAGTATATACACGCCCTATTTTCAGAAGTGAATATATTTCAAAAGGTAAAATTTCGCGGTTTTCTATCTGTGTAACAAGGCAAAATTCAGGTCAGGTCAAATTTAGGAACGGCTTTAACCGACGACACTGTCAACCGATATTAAGGTAAAACGAACATATTTTTAAATTTAGCCAACGCCTGCACATTTTATAACAATGTATACATACATATAAATAAAATTGAAGTGTCTGTCTGCAATATTTAAAGAAAAAAAAATATATCAAAAAAACTGCCTCTTATTTAGTTGAGGGGGTAATATGCATACCCATTAAGAATGAATTACCAATCTAAAAAAAAATTGTATGTTTTTCTTGGCTAATCTTCGAAATGGCTGAACCGATTGTAATGAAACTTCACGAACGGATATAGAGCTATGCCAGGAGTGATCTAAGCTATATTTTATCCGAAAAACTTCTTTTTGTGAAATCAGAAAATTACTAAAATAAATGGTCTTTGATTATTATAAACTTTTAAAAACACCGCATTAATATATATACCCAGCCGGGGCGGGTCGCTAGTAATATAATAAAGCAACAAAACGATTAAATTTCGACATATAGCCACAATCTCAGGTGCCAAGTCGATATATTTTATTGATTTATTTATTTATTGCAATGCCTATTTCAAAAGATAAAGGACAGACTTAAAGCCATGAGGCATTCTCTACCAGTCAAACCATTGAGTGGTGAGAATATGACGTAGTAATATAGAGTATAAAAATAAAATGATATTTGAAGTCAACAACTCAGCCGTTACTAATGAAAGGAATGGCAGTCACTGATTGAAGAATGAACGAACGTTCTCTACCTAAGAGACTGAATTTACAAAACATCCATTTTCATTTTCCATATAACTATACTGACAGCATCAAAGGTTCAAACACAATGCGGTCTCTAATGAAACACAGTCGCTTGATGAATGTTGCCACAAAGTTACGCTGCAAATTATTCTATGGAAAGCGTTTTAATGTATCTATCCTCGACCTTATTGACTTTTGCTATTTTAATAGAAATGTATTTTTATATATGTATCGGTAATAAGGTTCATTTTTTTCAATACGTACTGATCACAGAAACATGATGTCAATGGTACGATATTTATTTTTTATTTTATAGGATAGGGTGACAAACGAGCACACAGTCCACCTGATGGTAAGTGGTTGCTGTGACCCATAGACATCCACATTTATCCTCAATAAAGAATCAAAATGCAGATGCGTCGTCAGCCGTGAGGACTAAGATGGAATGACCTCTTTTCCAGTAAAATGGGTCTCCGGTTCTCTACACTCACCACACGAAACACAGCAGCGTCAAGCTGCTATTTTACGCTGGTTTTCTGTGAGAGTGTGGTCCTTCCCCGGTCGAGCCGACCCATTCGTGCTAGAACTATACTACTAATATAGCTGCAGCATGGCTCTACCACGTGTAAAAACAAAGGTGTATTTGCTACCATTTGCTACTATACTTTAAATTACGTTTTGCCTTATTAAAGACATCACACACACATGCATTCTGTTTATCTTACGTACAACACACACGCATTACAGTATTGCTAGAACAATAGATAATACATGTACGACATAAAGATTAATGTTTAATTAACAAAAACTTTTCCAGTCCTACTTTCAGTCTGTTTTACAGTTTTTTGTAGCCATATCGAATTACAAAGTAATATCCTGGAACTTTTCTATTTCATAATTATGCTCGAAAGTAGAATACCGTACCAGTTCCATACCAATATTAGACATGAGATTAAAAATAAAATTTAGGTACGAAATCAATAAGTGCAAAAATGTGATGCGTTTTAATGCCAAAACATTTTTAATAGTAAGTAAGAGAAAGAGAGATAGAGAGAGAGAGAGAGAAGGAGAGATCTGAAATATCTTAAGACATAAATATACCGATAAATGTAAAATAAAGTGGACTAGTCAGATTTGCAACGCTTGAAATGTTTCCATGAATATTAAATAATATTAAAGGTCATGGTTCGAGGTTTGTGTTACATAAGTTACAGAGAAAGATCTTTTAAATGTCAGAAATAATAAAATAAAAGAAGAGAGGTTTGAAACAATGCGTTGGCTACAATCCAATAAATCATTGCTTTTTCTCGCTTTTACTCCTACTGCATTATGGCAATGAGATCTAAATGCATGTATCCAATCATATTATGTTAGTTTCAAAGCCTTTGGCCAAAAAATGCATCGTACGTAATACATTATGTAATAAATGAATACTTTGATAACATTTTCCAGCTGATATTGAAAAATTTTAGATTAAATCTGAGAAATTTTCCAGTCACATTTGCAGTCTAAAACTTTTGTAATACTTGGCATCAAACAATTCCATCAAAATTTAAAACATTGAATGAATTCAATTTAACTTGGCAGAAACACGAAATGTTTATTCTTTACCTTTATCAGTTTATTTTCAATTTTATAAAACGATTTTTCAATTCAAGTGGGAATTGTACATTTTTTGTCTATTTTATTGAAATCGTAAAACCATTGATGACTCTATTGTCTTAAGTATATAGCATACCTTTTATATAATATAAGAATTACAAACGAACACAGTCCATGATGGTAAATGGATGCTGTGGTCCATAAACATCTACATCTATCCTCGATTAAGAATCAAAATGCAGATGCGTTGTCACCCCTGAGGACTTAAACGAAATGCCCAAGTGTCTCCAGTTCCCTTCACAAACCATACGAAAAGCTATTCTATGAGATCGTGGGGACCTCCGGTCGAGCCGATCCATACCTGCTACAACTATAATATAGTTGCTACTCGTATATTATAGCTGTAGCAGGTACGTGGTTCTACCGCGTATAACTTGAATACTCCATCACGGTAATTTCAACTTTTTTAACACGAACCAAAAAAGCTTGTATATCCTGTAAGTACGTAGGAGTCGCTAGTGTACTAAAGTTAGCTAAACTTTATTAAACAACGTTTGTATAATAACATTTATTATAATGTTAAGGCATTTAGGATCATAATTACATTCCCAGGGAATAAGGTGATCGCTACCACACTATTTCTTTTTACTTTAAAAAAAAGAGCCGCTACGTTTCTTGGTGGTGCAGGATAAAGGTATTTTTTTTCGAATCAGTGATAAATTAAACAAAAGAATGACTTTCAATAAGTATTATTCATAATCTGTTATTGAATAAAAAAAAGTTTCTGTTTCTGTTTCTATTACTCACTTGGAGTATACGTGTTGCAGTCGATGCGTGATAAGCCACTGGCGCAGTATAAGCCGCTGCTGCAGAATGAGGGCGGCTCTGCGCAGTCTTTCCTCCTCGGACGCCGGCAGCTCCGGCAGCCGCTCCAGTGCATCCGGGGACCCGCAGCCCGATAACGTCGATATACCTGCAATTAATATAATATACATTAACAAACAATTACCGTGTATTATTTACCATGTAGTGGCGGTGTAAGTATATCTACCATACCTTACCCCATATCATCATGTGGGTGTCGTAAGAAGCGACAAAGGGAAACAAATCACGAGATGGGCAGAAGCGTCTTCCTAATAACGACTAAAAGTAAAACATTGCCGTTGCCAACCTGTTTGCCAAGTGTGACAACTAAGGAAAATATCTCTCCCTATGAGGCAATCTCTGGGGGAGGCATATGTTCAGCGGTGAACTGTAATAGGCTGTTACGGTAACGATAGTACATTGTTTTAAACGGTTTAGTAATAAGTGTAATTAATTAATTCATCGTACCCGGTTTGTTGTAGGCTCGTTGCTAAGAAACGTACCTCGCTATAAGAATAACCTTTTGCAACCAAAATCTAAATTAAAATTACACAGTACAGGTCCTTACCCGATGTCAATAAAAATTTATAATAAATTGCCGGAATACATAAAAGCCGAAACAAATATTAATTAATTCGTAAGATCTTTAAAAGATATACTTATTAAAAAAGGTTATTATTCAATTAATGAATACATTGAGGAAAAGAATTTTTAAATGTCTGCCCCTCTCCTGTTCATTGCTATGCCTTTCGAGGTGCATATGATTGTTAGAACTTGTTTTGTTTAGTCTCTAAGTCACATGTAACGCAATTTGTGAATAAATGTATAAACGTATTTAGTAACCTCGACTTTACCTGTATGATGCTAAATTACATTGATATAATTTATTTCACCTTAAATAGTGCAAAAATTGTAGAGCCACGCTGAAGGCGTATTGTCTGCAGCATGAGTAGGTAGGCTCAACTGGTAAAACATGTATCCGAAATGTTTTTTTTTAATACCGTTTCCGTACAAATTGGTCTAAATTAGCGGCTCCGTGGCGCAGTAACATAGCATTGTGTTGCGGTGCTGAGGATCGCGGATTCGAATCCCGCACGAAACAAGTATTTTTATGGCCTACAAATAATTTTCCCGGGATCTGAATGTTTGTTCTTGTGCAATTTATGTTTCTAAACTGACTTTACGACGTAAGGACACAAGGTTAAAAAATGACCACGGTCTTACAGAATAATATTGGTGTATTTCATTTGGATTGACGAGGACCGTCCGATTTTCATTTTAAGCCTCAGTATTCACAAAGCATTTAGATTTTGATTCTTAATCCCGGACTAATGGAGTCTTAGGGTCGAAACAAATATGTACTTAACATCTGATGTACAATAGAATTCAATATAGATTACAAGTAATACTTATTGAATGTAATTTTTGCTTTTGCCACTGGTAAGGAAAAAGCCTCTATTCTGGAAAGAACCAGCAAGAAACCCAGTAGGTTTTTGTGTATGTGAAAACGATTAAAAACAGCACATTTTACTAGGTAGTAGGACTACTACGTAGTAGGAATTCTAGGTGGTAAGACTTCCTAGGTGTTTGGACCTTTTTTGCGTATTTTTCGTAGGAGTACACAGCAATGCAAGCACTGTATTAAGTAATTAATAACAAAGACTAAGTAATTAATAACAAAAAAAAAACAATAATTATAACTTTTAACAAAAAGTAAAAACTGATTTCAAATTGCTAAAAAAGAAGTTATTTATTTACCTCTTAGGGGTGGAATTTTTTCTCCAATTCTATATGGGATTACCCTTGGAGTATAACCTATTTAATAAAAAAAGAATCATTAAAATGGTTCTCAATCTGTAAATATATCATATGAAATTCCATAAACAATAGTCCAATATTAAACTTTTCCCCTATTTTCCAGCCTTGCGGGCGGAATTTTTTCTTTAAAATTTAATGGTACCCTTACCTTTGTGGTAAAGCCTATTTAATAAAAAAAGAATCATTAAAATCGGTTCACAATCTGCGAAGATATCGCGTAACATACATACAAAAAAATCATATTCTAATTGCGAACCTCCTCTTTTTTAAAGTCGGTTAACAACTAATTTCAGTTCTGAATGATAAAAACAGGCTGTGAGGCGTTCCATCTTAGTTCTTTGAGGTGACAACGTATCTGAAGCTTTCTTTGTTTAAAGTTGGCTGCAGATGTCCATGGATTGCAGTAGCCACTCACTATCAGGTCAATTGTAAGTTCGTTTGACACTTTAAGAAAGAAAGAATGAAATAAATGTGTTTCTGTTTCAGTTTAACACAACAAGAAAAAAGTAATTAAGTGCAAAAGGATAAATAAAACTAAATTGAATGTAATTAACAAACATTATAGATTTAAGAAAATACACTTGAAAGAAGGCCGGACTCAGTGATAGGACTGGTTTTCAGTTCAGCCCATACCCTGAGGCAATTCTAGTTTTAACAAAAAATAAACAGCATGGTAGAGGTCTCAAGCTTTTCAGAGAACAGCGACGGCGGCCGTGAAATGAATTACAAGTGCCTTGTATTTATTTTTTATAAGCTTGGGAAAGATTTAAATATTATTGTCCAATATGTACTGTAAGAAATATATTCATAACTTGCTGTTCTCCGCGACTTCGCCCGTGTGGAATTTATTGCGATTGGATTTCATGGGTTTTAATTATTTTGCGCGAAACCCTAATTCTTTTCCTAAAATAAAAATAGCCTCAGTTACTCCTAATAATATCAGATATCTGCCTGTGGAAGTTCCATTCAAATCGGTTCACAGGTTTTTTCGTGATGCCTATTCAAACAGACGTGTGTTAGTTTTGTTATAGTATAGAATACTAGCTGTGCCCCGCGGTTTCACACGTGTATATCACGCGTCTGCGCCTTGCGACATGCGAACTTCGAGAGAGACATCACGACGGACGGTTGCTGAATTAACAAAGATTTAAAAAGTGAAATATGTTACTAAAATTACATGGTTAACGTAATTGGTGGTTATGCATGATACAGGTACTGATACGAATAATGTGGCCTAGTTTGTACTGGCGTTACTATTTCACATTTTAATATGAAAAAGTAGTTATTGTCGTCGTTGTTAGTGTGTTATGTCATAACTGTAATAATTAAACATATGGTATCGCAGACTTTTTTGTAGATATTGATATCCTCTATAAAACTGAAGTACATTACTATGCTCTATTATCAATAGTTTCCGCAGCGTACGCGATATAAGGATTCTTATTGGTATTTTTTTCACACCTTGGGTTACATTAACGAATTTTTCATACGGATCCCTAACTTTTTGAAAATATTATATAGCCTATGTTCATCAGGGATAATGTAGGATTCTAATGGTGAATGATTTTTTCAAATCGGTCCAGTAGTTTCGGTGCCTATTCAATTCAAACAAACAAACAAACAAATCTTTCCTCTTTATAATAGTATATAATATATAATTATAATAATAAAGAAAGTGTAGATGTAGATAGATAGATTATACCCATTTCATAGGACGCTACTGGGATCAAATTCCCTGATCTCTAGAATGAGTCATCTTTACAACAAATTCTGTGGCAGTCACAAGATCCTTGACGTATATTCTATGACAGCATACAGTTAAGAAAACAATTTTAGGGTAGCTTAGCAGCTTATAACCTTACTAGTAAATGTAACACTGTGTAAGTGATGATTAGTTAAGGAACACTATTTATTTTTCTAACCCCTCTCTCTTCCTCCTTTTATTTATGGTCATTGATCTACCTAAATAATGTTGTCTTTTTAGTGCATTCGTTGGTATCCCGTATTACTATAGTGCACCCTACCCGTTAATCTTTCTCTTATTCTTTCTGGGTTATCTGAAAGAGATTGCTATGTAGCAATAAGACCGACGATTTTTTCTTTTTAAACGACTTCAAAAAGGAGGAGGTAGTCAATTCGACTGTATTATTTTTAACGTGTGTTACCTCATAACTTTTTTCTAGGTGAACAGATTTCGATGATTCTTTTTTTATTTGAAAGCTGATGCTTCTCATGTGGTCTCATATAAATTTGATCAAAGTCTGCGCGGTAGTTTTTGAGTCCTTAATAATTTGTATTGGAGTCGGTTGTAGAATTTTTTTTAATTTTACCACTTGTCTTGGTGTACAATAAAGAGTATTGTGTTGTACCTGTAAGTGATTGTACATTATGTCCTAAATACTATGGTAAGTAACAATTAAGATTTTAGTTGGTATAATAATCGTTGGTGATCTAATTAAATAAAGAAATAAAAATAAAAAATAATATCCGCATGACAGAATATAGCTACAGTCTTTCATAAAGGTCATAATTTTCAGTCTACAATCATAAGCGTATAGAAAACGTATGTTCCAGTGGCTCTAGATACTCTAGATAAATCAAAGTATCGTGATAAGAAAGAACGACATCCGTGCCCCATTTCACCGCAGTGCGACGTTGTACTTATCACACGCGAACTCGTGAACTTATGGCGTTCAATGTGATATAAAACGTAACGTTTATGTATTTTTTTGCCAGATCGCACCAAAATGAGGGTAATGTTTTTTTTTTCGAGATATATGTATATACAATGATTTCTTACATTTACGCGAACACTACACATTGAATAAAACTACTTTTAAGGATTCTATCGCGTTTAATTAACTTATTTTTAAAATTACCGACGTTTCGGGTGATTGTGATCATTTTCTAGACGGTCCCCGCTATTACATTAAATTTGACAAACCACAAATTCTCGCGAAAGAACATCGATTCTTGCCGAGGACGATACGTGAGGCTATTGAAATTAAAAAACATCCGGATTTCAAAAGAGAGTGAGGCTGGCTGGGGACTACCACCTGCTTGGGATCCTGTAATTAATAAAATTATAACTAAACCCAAGCATAATACTGCAAGACTTTAAGACAGTAAATTCATTCTGCGTAGATCGGACCAAAGCTAATAATTGAAAAATCTGAAGGTACTCCGGTTTAACTCTGACATCGGTACGTCAATCACCTCAGTCCCCCGCAGGGCCGGTCAACTTCCTAATAGCAGATTGGCACCGGGAGATGACCTTGGGGGGCTTTAAAG